GCCAAGGCAGAAAGGCTTAGGTTGGCCTGGAGTTGATGAATTCTTTATTCAGAGTGACCCACAACCCAAATACAAATTGCTAAATGACTCTCTGTCTTACACAGCCCCTTCTACTTCCACGGTAACAGTGCAAAAGTAATGGTACCAAGAAGAAAGGTGGCAGAGGGCACGAAGAATCACACTGTTTAGATCATTTAGAAACATTCATTTAAACTGCAGTTACTTCCTACTTATCCTGAATATGGCTTGTTTGTAGTTGTTTGCTTGTTGTCTCTCCCCCACACCTCTTGGATTGTGAACTCCTTGAGGGCAGGGGTTGTCTTTTACCTCTTTTTGTATCCCCATCTCTTAGAACAATGCTGCACACAGTAGGTGCTTTAAAAATATTGCTTGATTGACCTTACTCTGAATGCCCAGCTAGGTTCTTGGCTCCTCCCTCAGGCTTCTGACTGACTAGCAGCATGACAGGCACAAGAAAGCGTTGGAACAATCGCTGCTGTTTGCTTTCCCTGCTTGAAATGTCCTTTCTCTGCTATGACTAAGTAAACTTCCCTTTGTATACTGATGGACTGGGAGAGCCTCGTTTCATTCCAGTTTTGAACCTTAGCTCTCAGCCCAGCCTGAGCCAAACCCAACCTACTGCACCATTAATGCATGCTTGCATTAATAACAAAAGGCTACCCCAATCAACTTGATGAACTTATGATTGTATTCCATACACTGGGAACTGATTGCTTTTGGCTGTTGCAGATCAACTAGAGATGAAGGAATTGGCTCATATTGTGGGTCAGAGCCACAATGAAAAAGGGGGGGGTATCAAATTGTAATTGTTCTTGTCCCTTCCACTCCCCTCGCCCCTACCTCTGCTTTCCAGAAAACAGACAAGAGCACATCAAAGCTAGGGACAAAAGTTCCAGAGTGAAAACCTCTCCATCCCCAGCTCCTGATGGCTACACTGAGGCAGAGGCACACAGCAGTTGCATGAGCTCCCAAACATGTAGCCTTGGAGTAGAGTTCCTGAACCACTGTCTCCTTGAAAAAGGAAGGGGGACTTCCCGGACAATGGTGAGTACCCAGAAAGTCCTGGAATCCGCACGTCTAAGAAGAAGATAGGGGAGTACTAAGTCCCTTAGGAGAAGGGCACCCTTTTACTCACCTCTCTGGAGGCCTAAACATAAACTATATTTGAGTTATTTTCTGAGACTTCCTAGAGGGAACTCCAGGTGGCAGCAAAACAGGCTAACGATTTAGGATGTATGTTGGGGGGAGGGTGTCACCCCTAAAACTGTATCTTTGATGGTACAGATGGGCACTGTGATGGACCGGGCCTTGAATAACATAAGATCAGGTTAGATTAAGTCTGGGAAGTTACATAGCTCTTTCAATGATATGATACTAAGCTGTTTGCTGATACAAAAAGCTATCTTTTCTTTCTTTTTTTTTTAAGGCAATTGGGGTTAAGTGACTTGCCCAGGGTCACACAGCTAGTAAGTGTCAAGTGTTTGGTCTGAGGCCGGATTTGAACTCAGGTCCTCCTGACTTCAGGGCTGGTGCTCTATCCACTGCGCCACCTAGCTGCCCCAAAAAGCTATCTTTTCAATACCATTCTCTCCCAGAGATGTTATAAGACTAGGAATTATCAAACACCTTCACCACTAAAGAGCAATGGTGAGAAGCATGGTGGGTACAAGTAGACAGCTATAACCAAGAGTCTGCTGGAGCCATCTCATCCAAGTTCACAGAGAGCCAACTGTTTTCAATGTGAGTATTTATACTTCAAAAATCAGCAAATGCTACAATCAGTGCTTGGTTTATTGTTCTGTTGATTGTCTAGACTTAAGAAAGTGCTGGAAAAAATATCAATAATGCAGATTAAATTTAAAAGTGTATCCTGAGCCCATACAGCTGGTTGTTAAAAATTTACCAGTATACCCCTAGCTATAACACATTAACAATAATAACTTCCATATAAAATGTGGCATAAAAGATAACATCTAGGATATGTATTAGCGGGGAAAAGGGTAGGTTGATTACATAGCAAGCAGGAAAGATGAAATGAATAGCACAAAAGGTGAAGTGGTATCCATTAAATATCTAAAGCCCTAGAAGAAGGCCTCTAGTGCAATGTGTAGATCTTTTATGGAAGATTTGTGAAAGGTCACAGAAAAGATTTGCACAGGATAAGAAAGCATGAATAGGCTGTGGTCTGCATCCATGGATGAAGTACTAATATCAGTAAGATCACGAGTCCACTGACATACATCAAGACATAAACATAAAACATATATAATCCAGAAATAAATTACACTTAGTTAGGCATGCATTGCTTTTTGTTGGGGGTATTTTGGTCACTGTAAAACATTTCTTTTGTAATGCTGCTTGTCTCAGGCTGACATCATGTAAATGAAATTTACAGTCTTTAAGCATACACCATCTGATGGCAGAAGGATGCGAATAGCCCAGAAACTTACCAGGTAATGAGGGGAGATTGGCTAAAATTCAAAATGTTGCTCCAGAAATAACTATATGAGGCATAGACTAACATCTCACACCCTATACCAAGATAATGTTTAAATGGGTGTATGATTTAGATATAAAGGGTGATATCATAAGTAAATTAGGAGAGCAATGAATAGTTTATCTGTCAGATCTATGGAGAAGGGAAGAATTTATGACCAAACAAGAGAACATTATGAAATGCAAAATGGATAATTTTGATTACATTAAATTAAAAAGTTTTTGAACAAACAAAACCAAGAAAACCAAGATTAGAAGGAAAGCAGAAAGCTGGGAAACAATTTTTACAGCCAGTGTTTCTGTTAAAGGCTTCATTTCCCAAATATACAGAGAATTGAGTCAAATTTATAAGAATACAAGTCATTCCCCAATTGATAAATGGTCAAAGGATGCAGGCAGTTTTAAGATGAAGAAATTAAAGCTATCTGTAGTCACATGAAAAAATGCTCTAAATCATCATTGATTAGAGAAATGCAAATTAAGATAAATCTGAGGTACCACCTCATACCTATCTGATTGGCTAACATGACAGAAAAGGAAAATGACAAATGTTGGAGAAGATGTGGGAAATTTGAAACACTAATGCATTGTTGATGGAGTTGTGAACTGATCCAACCATTCTGGAGACAAATTTGGATCTATGCCCAAAGGGCTATAAAACTAGATTTCCCTTTAATCTAGCAATAGCACTTCTAGGTCTGTGTCCCAAAGAGATAATAAAAAAGGGAAAAGGACCCACTTTGTAAAAAAAAAAAATATTTATAGCAGCTTTTTTTGTGGTGGCAAAGAATTGGAAATTGAAGGGATGCCCATCAATTGGGAAATGGCTAAACAAGTTGTAGTATATGAATGTAATGGAATACTACTGTTCTAATAAGAAATGATGAACAGGTGGACTTCAGAAAAACCTGGAAAGACTTACATGAACTGATGCTGACTGAAGTGGGCAGAACAAGGAGAACATCGTACATAGTAACAGTAAATCTGTGCAATGATCAACTATGAGAGAATTAGCTCTTCTCAGCAATACAATGGTCCAAGATAATTCCAAAGGACTCATGGTGGAAAATGCTATCCACATCCAGAGAAAGAACGATGAAGTCTGAATGCAGATTGAAGCATACTATTTTTTACTTTTTTTTGCTTTTTGTTTTTTCTTTCTCATGTTTTTCCCTTTTGTTCTGATTCTTCTTTCACAACATGACTAATGTGGAAATATGTTTAACATGATTATACATGTATAACCTATATCAGATTGCTTGCTATCTTAGAGGGGAGGGAGAGAGAAAAATTTGGAACTCAAAATCTTATAAAAATGAATGTTGAAAATTATCTTTACATATAATTGGAAAAAAATAAAATACTATTAGGTGCAAAAAAGAAAAGAAATAACTATATGGTCCTACGTTCCCAATTAGACTATAAAATTCCCATTGGAATTAACTGCATTCCCCATTAAACTGAGCTGTCTGTACACCTCTCCATCCTCATTTATCCCAACAGATTCAGGCAGATACCAGACTAATTTTCCTGTTGTCGTAGCTGTTGTTCAGTTGTTTCAGTTGGGTCCTACTCTTCATGACCCCATTTGGGGTTTTCTTGGCAATGATTCTAGAGTGGCTTGCTATTTCCTTCTCCAGCTCATTTTACAGATGAGGAAACTGAGGCAAACAGGGTTAAGTAATCTGTCCAGGGTCACCCAGCTAGTAAGTGAGACCAGATTTGAATTCAGGAAGATGAGTCTTCCTGACTGCAGGCCCGGTACTCAGTGCACTATGGCGCCACCTAGCTGCCCAATCTTCCTAACTTTTGTAGTACTCCCCTACATCGGCTCTTCCTTGCCTGACTCCCCTGGGGCCTGGCTTTCGAGGCTCTCTGGAATCCATCCTGCTTCTACAACCCTACTTCTTCTTACCACCAACCTTCTATTCCCCACTCCCCACTGTGGCTCCCCAAATTCTACCTACAATGAGAGATTTGAACTAGATGACCACAAAGGTCCATCTCAATAGAGTCTGTGGTACTAGATTTCCTTCCGTGACTGGAGGAGGCCCACCTCCTCCAGTCAGCCTGTCAATAAACATTTATTAAGTACCTGGTGTGTGCCAGGCAGTGTGCTAAATACTGGAATTATTCCTTCTCCATGAAGACTTCCCCAACTACCTCCAGCTATTTCTCACATTCTTCTGTACTTCTGCTGCACTAATTATTATCTATCCAGCACTTCATGATATACTGTGCCTCATCATTCTGTGCCTAAATCTTGTCTCCTAACTGCAGTATAAGCTCCTTGAGAATAAAAATGAAATCTTGTCCTTTTCATGTCCCATGCTACACTTAGTGTAGGATTAGTACATGGTAGATGGTGCAGTGGAAAGAATGTCCAGCCTGGAGTCAGGAAGACTCATCTTCCTGAGTTCAAATCCAAGACACTAGTTTAGACATTTCCTAGCTGTGTGACCCTCAGCAAGTCACTTAACTCTATTTGCCTCAGTTTCCTTATGTGCAAAATGAGCTTGAGAAGGAAATGGCAAACCACTCCAGTATCTTTGCCAAGAAAACCCCAAATGGGGTCATAAAGAGTCAGATAAGGCCAAACAACAAGAAGAAAAGTATAGGGGGCAGCTAGGTGGCACAGTGGATAGAGTGGACCTGAGTTCAAATCCAGTCTCAGGCACTTAACACTTACTAGCTGTGTGACCCTGGGTAAGTCACTTAACCCCGATTGTCTTACCAAAAAGCAAAAAAAAAGAAAAAAAGAAAGGTATAGAATAGTTGATTGCTTGAGGTGGATCAATCAACAAGCATTTATTAAGTGCCTACTATGTGCTAGGAAGTGGGAGTGCAGAAACAATGGGAGTGGAAAAATGCAAGGCAGGTCTGCTGGCACCCCTTTTTAACCCTTTCTGGATGCCAGAAGCAGGAAGGGTAGGCTTACACTGATGATGGCATTCTGGGCCTCATCGTTGTGAACAAGCTTTGCCCTCTCCAAGGCTTTCTCAAAGTTGCTCACGGCAGCCTCGTAGTCTTTCAACTTAACTGTAAAGAAAGGGGGGAAAGGGAAGTGGTTATTAACAACAGACAGCACCACGTGGGCCCTGTGGCTCCCCCAGTCTGATTTGAAGGTCGGGTCATCCGTTGCTTGGTACTAAGGACTTAGCATGGTACTAAGGACTTAGCTTGGTACTAAGGACTTAGTTGTACCAAGATGGCTACTAGGGGCCAAAAGCAGGGGAAGATGCTGAACTGCCTTCAAGCAAACTGGATTAATACAGTTGGCCTCTTCATCAGCAAGCTAGGTGGCACCATCCTTTCCCCAAGTCTTTGACCTTAGGAGTCATAGTGCTGGAGAAGCCTTAGAGATGATTTCATCCAGCCCCCTCACTTTACAGATCTGAGGGAACAAAGACAAAGTAACTTGCTCAGAATCACTCAGCTCATGAGTGGCAAAGCTTGCTGTGGCACCTAGGTGTCCCAAGCCCAAAGCCAGTGTATTTGTCCCCTGCTCCCCACTGCTTCCCATCCCCTCCCCACCCCTACTTGGCAAACTGAAGCTGACCAGGAGCAAATCCACCATGTAGAAAAAGAGGCTGGCAGAGAATGGCTGGGCTCCCCACTGTCTCAGGGTTCGGTTCATTCTGGGAGTCCCACAGCCTGCAAAGAGGAGGGCAGTGCTGCCTCCTCCCCTCGCCCCACCTCATGCTGTCCCTTCAGCACTCATCACCCCATGTTCCTTGGCATGTGAGTGTGGCCTCTAAGTGCTCTCCAGACATGTCTGTGTGTCCCTCCATCCGAGCTCCCTGCATGAATGGGAGTCCCGAGTGCAAGAGCTCTTTCATTACACTGCGTGAGCCTCCTGGTCAGGGATGGGCACAAGGGAGACTGAAAACAGACACCCAACAACAAAGGAAGTGTATGGGGCTGGGGGAGGGGGCAGTGGTGGCGTTTATGAGACTTGGCCCTTGTTTTTCATTGCCTTACGACTCCTTTTACCGGTTTTTTTTTTAATTCAATTTAAATCCCCCCCAATTAGACTGTATAAGCTCCATAAGGGCAGGGACCATTTCTTCCCCTCTTCACTCCCCCTCCCTCCAAGCCCATTGTACTCTGCTCACAGCAATTACTTAATTATTAGTTGACTAAGTTTGGATCATTCCAGTCAGAGACATGAGGCCATGGGATAGTGTCCAGTCAGAGTCAGACTGGATAGCCCTAAGTGGGCAACACCATGAGATGGCCCAATGGACATTAAGCCTGGTCAGGACAGTTTGATGGCATTGTGGCTTATGTCAGAGGGGAAAGGGAGGGTTGGGGTATCTGCCTGTACCTTGTGCCTGGGCCACCAGAACACTTGCATTGAGTTGCCACTCAACATCACCCTCCTCTTCAGCGCATGCCTGAGACTTCTCCCCATACTCCTGAGCTTCCCAAGGCCGGTTGAGTTCCAGGTAGCAGCGGCCGATCTCATGGAACAGCCAGGTCTTCTCCAGGCTGGTTTTTGCTAGAGGGATCTTCTCCTCCCACCTGAGAAAAGGCCAGGGTAAGGGGGCAAGCTTCTTGCCCTCAGCCCTCTCCTACATCTGCAGGACCCTGGAGCCATGTTAAGTCTCATCAGTTCAGCTCCAGAAGCCAAGTGAATAATCATTAAACACCACAGTGTTACAATAGGCCATGTGATCTCTTGCTTTCAGATAAAATAAAATTTACCCTGTAGGGTAAATAATTTCTCCCCTTTTTAAAGAATTGCAGAGAAAAGAGAGATTCTAAATTCCTTGCTTACCTGTTCTATTATCATATATTTCTTTAGGAAGTTCTTTCTGAAATCTAACAAACTCCTTGTGCTGTAGAACATGCTCATTTCTGCATATTCTATTCTCAGAGGAAGAAAGAATAATCAGTGGGTCCCCTTCATCTGAAGAAGCTCCTTCTACAAATGTGAAAACAATCCTTCATTTTCCCAGTTACCCAGGCTCAAAATCTTGTGCTTATCTTTGACTCTCCCCTCTTCTTCACCCCAAACTCAACCAAGTATGAACTCTAGGTAATTATACATCAAAAATATCTTTCAAATCTGCTCCCCCCACTTCCTAGTTCCTCTGCTACCAGCCAGTTTCAGAACCTCAATGCCATCAATGCAATAGCACCCTAATTGACTTTCTTCTCTCTGCTCACAGCCATTCTGTGTTTTGTATCACTTCTAGGGACCTCAGATACTGAGACAATAAGCAGCTCACATTTATAAACCACCTGAAGGTTTGCAAAGTGCCTTCCTCACAGTGAAATAGGGATTTTAAGTACTCCATTTGTTCAGTGAAGTTAAATGACTTGCCCAAGATAACAAGCAGTGAGTGTTAGAGCCAGGATTCAAACTTAGGTCTGTCTGAAAAAGAAGAAAACTGCTTAACTATGTAGCAGTGGTGGTCTGGTGAGGTGAGCAGGATAGTTGAGCCATTCCTATTTGCCCCTCACACCCTACCACTGATCCATTGTCCAGATGAGTTTCCCAGTGTAAATACTCTTCCTCTGCTCTAAGGAGTTGTATAAAGAATGTGTAATTTTCCCTCTCTCTCTCCCTCCCTTCATCTCTCTCTCTCTCTGCTTCTTTTTCTTTTATTTTTTATTATTTTTTTTGGCTAGGCAATGGGGTTAAGTGACTTGCCCAAGGTCACACAGCTAGTGAGTGTCTGAGGCCGGATTTGAACTCAGGTCTTCCTGAATCCACGGCCAGTGTTCTATCAACTGTACCACCTAGCTGTCCCTATCTGCCTCTCTTTCTCTGTCTCTATCTCTGTCTGTCTCTCATTTCTGTGCCCCTAGTCAGAGATAGAGCTCTGGTTAAACTGTATTAGCTGTCTCTCTCTCTCTCTCTCTCTCTCTCTCTCTGTGTGTGTGTGTGTGTTCTTTGAGAATGCACCCTCCTCAACTGTCTTCTTTCAATTTATTTCCAATAAATACACCCAGGCTTGTGGTTAAAACTCATTAAGATGCAGTAAACATTTAAAACAAAGAAAGGTAAAAAGACTTTTCTTATGTCTTAAAGGAAGGGCTTTACTTTTCTAAGAAGGGGTAAAGGAAATACAGGATTAGCACTTTGAAGTTTCTAGTCTGGGGAGTTTCATCAGCATCTGTCCTTCCTGATGTTCTCCACCAGCTCCGTCTCACTCCTAGGGTCTCAGCCTCCTTACTTACTCCTTACCGTCGCCCCTGCTCTCCCAGTTCTACAAACCTCATGGCCTCTCTTTTTCCAGCCCAAGATTCCGCTGCAGCCCTCAGCTGAGGTACTGCTGTACTCTTTCAGAATGAGAAGGAACACTTATCCTAGCACTGACGGAAACTGCTGAGGTCTGTCATCTCCCATGCAAGTGAAAGAGTTAGGGTCATCCAGTAAGCTAGTGCCCTATTAGGATTAGTCTTACCTTTATCTTCCATTGCAAGCTAAGTTGGCTCAGTGAGAAACTTCACCCTACCCTATGGGGTCCATCCACGACATTTCCCAAGTCTTCATCTCTCCAGGTGGTCCAAGCAAATGTTGCACTAGGGGCAAGCTCTCTATCCTTGTGAACTGCTTGGCAGCTTTCCTGGCCTTCTCATAAGCAAACAAGCTTCTCAGATGCTTTATAAGGTACAAATGATCCATTCAAATCTGAAAGGAGCGCATTCTTTTTCAAATGCCAACGCAATCTTTTACTTAGAGTCCCCAAACTAGTTGTCTCTCTAGTATAGTACAAAGAGTGCTGGATTTGTAGTCAAAGAACCTGGGTTCAAATTCTGGTTCTTGCCATTAACCTGTATAACCTTGGGCAAGTCACTTAACCTTGCTGGGCTTCAGCTTTCACAAATGTAAATGGACTAATTGGACTAAATGATCTCAAAGGTCCCTTCTATCTTTAAATCTATGATTTCATGGTCTTACCATACAGGATAGATACAATATAGAAAGATGAACAGCAATCTAAACATCTAGAAAATCACCTGAACACTGGAACCAAAATCAAAGAAAGGTGCCCATAATAAATCTCATGGCCTAGAACGTCAATATAAAAATGCACAAAATATAAATACTGACCGAGGGGTACAAATGATCTTAAGCTAAATTTAAAAAAAAAAATTGATCTATAAGTATCATTGAGATTTGGGGGAATGGAACCCATAAAGACGGCTCTGGAAGAGTCTTGTATTCAAAAGCAGCAAGATGGGTAAAAGGGGTGGGAGCAGAAGGGCAGAACAAGCTTGTTTGTTTGGAAGAGAGGATTACTTGAGGCAATGCAGTAGCCAGATAGGGAAAGCATGATGGAAAGGATTTGGATCAATGGAGATCAGCTGAGGCAAAAACAAAAACAATCTTGCCATTAAATTATACTAGAGACTTCCTGGACAAAAAGAAGAGTAGAAAGTTGGGAAACAGGTCACGAGTGTAACATGGAGGAATGATATGGTATTGATAGAGGATTTCAATTATCTGGAAATCTATTGAAGTTCCCTCTCACTGGAAAAAGAGAATTTCATTAAAGAAAATGGCAACCATAGGACAACATACTGAAAGTTTCAGGATGCAACCAAAGCAGTCCTTAAGGGAAAATTTATATCTCTAAACATTTTCATCAGCAAAATTGGAAAAATAACAATCAAGTAATTGGGCATGCAACTAAAGTTATTAGAAAAGCAACACATTTTTTAAAAACTCCAACCAATCACAAAAACAGACATTCTTAAAATCAAAAAAGAGACAAAACTGAAAACAACAAAAATTGAACGGATAAATAAAAGTAGGAACTGGTTTTCTGAGAGAAAAAAAATACCCAATTAAATATGTAAACCATTAGCTAATCTGATTAAAAAAAAAGAAAAACTTAAAGAAAACCAAATTGCCAATATAAAAAATGAAACAGTGTGGGAAAGACTTAGAAGTTAAGCTTGCGTAGCAGAACACAGGAATTCTGGGGAGGACTTTCAAGATCTTGAGGATAGTCCCTCAACCAATCAGAACATGCCCCAAACATTCTGAAAAACCACTTCTTCCTTGAGACAGAGCTCTAGGGGCTAAACTGGTTGCAACAGGTCAGGGTCAAGGACTGGGCACTTGCTTAATAAACTTACTGAATGTTAACTAACACACTCCAAGGGCAGAGATAGCCACCATTTTTGAACATGGGATGCATGATGGGGAGGGATTAACATGACAAGGAGTAATATGAGATGGGCTGTTCAGGAAGAGTGTAACCCAAATGAGCTGGTCCAATCCCAGCTCAAATGGGAGAAGTATGGATTTTACTAACCATTCAAAAGTTGGCTCTACTTCTGTATTGGCACACATGTGCCACACTAGGGTGCAGTGTGCCTGCTTCTCAAGAGAAGTGTAATAAAGGCTTTCCTTCACACACTCCTGTAGTAGATTTTTGTTTCAGATTTTTCTAACAGAAAAATTCACAATACATTAAGAAGAGATAGCAGAAAATATTAGAAACTATTTGGCTTAATTATATGCCAACAGAATTGAAAAATAAAATGAACATTTGCAAAACATAAACTACTCAGATTAACAAAATGAGAAGAAGAGAATTTAAGTAACCCCAATCTCATAAAAAGAAACTGATCAATTCATACAGGAACTCCAAAGAAAAAAATCCTAGGACCAGATGGATTTACAACTAAAAGTTATTAGACATTCAAAGAACAATGAATACCAAATATTGCACAAATTATTTGAAAAAAAAATAGGGAAAGAAAGGATCCTACAAATTCTTTCTAGGAGACAAATATGGTCTTGATTCCTAAGTCAGGAAAAGGTAATGCAGAGAAAGTAAATCACAGAACAATATCTTTAATCAATATTGACACAGAAACATTTAATAAAATTTTAGCAAAGTGTTTATAACATATTTAAAAGATCATATTACATGATCAGGTTGGAGTCACATCAGAAATGCAGGGTCAATTCAATATTAGGAAATCTTAACATCATAGATCATGTTAATAAGAAAACAACTATAACAACATGACTATATCAATAGATGCAGAAAAAGGTTTTGACAAAACAGAATACTAATATATATTTAAAAATTTTAAAGCACAGGAAAAAATGAACCTTTCTTAATGTGGTAAATTTTGCTGTTGTTGTAGGGGCAGCTAGGTGGCGCTGTGGACAAGAACTTGGAATCAGAACTTGGGCTTGGAATCAGGAAGACTTAACTTCCTGAGTTCAAATGTGGCCTCAGACACTTAACTGTGTCTTAGTTGTGTGACCCTGGGCAAGTCACTTAACCCTGTTTGCCTCAGTTTCCTCATATGTAAAATGAGATGGAGAAGGAAATGGCAAACCACTCCAGTATTTCTTGTCAAGAAAACCCCAAAATGAGGTAACAAAGAGTGACTAAAATGAAGGACTGAACAACAACAACAAAAAGAAATTAACTGTAATGGAGAAATGCGACTGGCCTTTTTGATAAGGTCAGTAATAAAGCACGGATGTGCACTGTGACCACTATTATTTATTATAATTCTAGAAGTTCTAGCTATAGCAATAA